ATTAAGTGGTAATATTTAATTTTAATAAGTGCGGAAAAAAAGGAATATAACAAGTGGGAAAGTAGTAAGTAGTAAAAATAATCTAGGTGATATGATTCCACTATTCAAATCAATAAATCTATAGATCGAATATATGTATAACTCAACTGTTATCTGGTCTCCTCTCATCCCCTTCTCTATCAAATCTCTTTGTACATGGCAGTGATGGTAATAATAATAATAATAATAATAATAATAACAAATAATAATAATAATAATAATAATAATAATAATAAAATAAAGTTCATTGATGATGAAATATAATAAACATTCTATTAGCTAAAAGAAATCTACTATTAGGGAGGATGAACGACGATTTAACATCTTAATAGAATCTTCGCGTATTGTAATTCGTCGTTGATGCGGTAGTTGGTGATGAGTTAACATTTGAATTAGACGCAAAATTTGAGAAAGAGCTGAAATTTGTGGTTGTTGAAAATCCTCCTAATCCTCCGCCTCCTAGACCCGAATATGTATTTGATGATGAACTAATCAATGGTGATCCGAATGCGGCTGTTGTACCGTAAGGATTTGACGCTGTTGAAGCAACTCCTAGACCAAGACCCATTGAAGATGTGGCTAGTGTTGATCCAAGCGTGCTAGTATTGAATGCAGAACCAAGAGTTGCGCCGCCAAAATATCCGCTACTAGGTGATCCATATCTTGTTGGCGTGTATCCACCGGCACTACCATAACCACCAGGTGTTGAATATCCGGAAGGAGATTCAGCACCACTTGAATAATTACTAAACCCACTATAATCATTATGAGAACTAATTCCTGGGTAACTGTTAGATTCAATTGGTAAATACTCGTAATCACTTGATGACGACGAGGCCATTCTTCGATGACGTCGAGTTGATTGACCAAGATCACGCATAATACGCTCTTCACGTTCTCTTTCTTCAGCTTCAGCAAGCATCATTTCGACTTCTGTCACGTCAACTGTGCTTTTTAATGCCGCTTTCCCTTCTTCAATCATATGAGTTAGTTTTCCATTCAATTTTAATACTATGTCATCATCTTCCTCAAATTGACATGGGGGTACTGTCGATGCATTCGATAGACTGGCGGATGATGATTTTCGACGAAGAGGTCGATTTCCACGTCGAACACGGATCTGACGACGTTTCGGTGTAGTTTGTATTGATTTTGATTTATTGTTGTTAATATTGATGGGTTCAGCGGATATTTGTTGCTCTTGTGTGGCTGATGTTTGCTCTGCAAATCCTGCATCCATTACAACAGGGGAAGTATTCGATGATGACGATGATGGCTGCTGCTGTTGTGATGGTGATTGTTGAGGTTGTTGAGAAGTTGGCTATATCATTCAATTAGTAGATGAATTAGTGATCAATCTATTTTAATAAAAGTGATCATGCTCAAAGTATTAAAGAGAATATTTACCATTGACCAAGAACTATCATATGGTGGCGGGGGTTCCTCTTCGTCAGCGTTAACGTTTGACCAATCGCATTCATTTTTTTTGATGCTTTTAACTTCAGTTGTTTCAACGAATTCTTCATCACCCATCTCGCAATCATCATCGTCTGCTTTGATTTGCATAATGTCCTCACCATATCCATCCAAGGCCATACTATACCTATTATTAAAAGTCGCAGCATTACTAATTTTACGTTGATTGAATTGTTGTTGGGATGCTGGTGGTAGTCCGTCTGTTCCAACCACGCCAATAAATGTTTGATATGTTTCGGTGGCGACGGCCGAGGTATAAGCGGCAAGTTCAGTAAGTTTATACAAAAGATTTGTCGCTACTCCTGGTCGTTGTCTTTTATTCGGGGGTTGAGTCTCGTTGAACATGGTTTGCCCTCCTTGGTGGTGGTGGTGTAGTTGTTGCTGCGGTTGCTGTTGTTGTTGCTGCTGGTGGTGTAAATGAGCCGCTCCAAGCAATTCGTTTTCAAGTTCAATACGACGTTTTGAGTTTGACGGAGATGGAGGTGAATGAGGAAAATCGCGTATCGCTCGAGGTGCTTGCATTTTTGTTCGCTAAATAATATTATTTATACTAGTGGAAGGTATCTTTCTCTCTCTCTGTGTGTGTGAGTGTGTATAATAGTCGAGTGGTGACGAGAAAGTAAGAGATAAAGTACAAGTTGTTGTTTAGGTTGGTTATTATTTGTCTGGTTAAAGACTTTTAAAGACTATAAAAAGAAAAAAATTATTCGTTCTTTTTGTTCTTCACAAGTCACATAGACAGGACAGAACAGAAACAGAACTGCTTACTTACTTTGCTGTTTCTGTTACTAAATTAACTATTGTTAAAAGTTGCTGTTGTAGAAGTTGTACTACTCTCCGTGCGGTAAAGTGTGTAGTTATTAAAAGTTGATATGAATATAGCGATAATAAATTTATGAAATTGGTTATAAAATATATATATTATTATAATGCTGTAAGAGTGAAACAAGTCGTGGTATTTTGCTGTATCGGTAAATAAACAAGAAGGAAAAGATACAGTTTTTAGTTACTATGTGATCTTATTAAAAATCAGAATTAATAAGGGGCAAGAGACCGTTAAGGTGGTTTTTTTGCGTGTGGTTTGGTTTATGTATCTGCTGGCTGCACAAATTTTATTGAGTTTATACAAGAATCGGTTGATGTCGACCACAAACGACGGAGGAGAACGAAAGATGGGGACAGGGATATTTATTTTATTTTTCGTGACGTTTTCCACTGAATCGAAAATCGAATATAGAACATACGCACAAAATACACGAGAATCATCACTTATTCCTTTTGATCCACCAAAAACGGTGACAATTCACGCCAATTCACATATTCGGTCAAAATGTGTCACATTTAAAAAATTGGTCTTTTTCTGTTGCATAGAAGTTGTATAAACATTATCGTTATGTTGCTGACGGTTAGGGTTATCTGAGTATCACAGGTTTTAGACGGTGTCTTTATCGATACCGTTCCTTTCCTAAACAAAAATTATGCTATGTGTGTGTGTATACTATATATGCTACAATCGTTACATCCGAATAACGATAACGATAACGATAACACAACAGCTAAGCAACCACAACAATACCTTTCAAGATCACATTTTTCTTTTTTTATCCATTCTCACCATCATCACCTCATCATAGGAGAAAAAATTTATGTCATTTAATCTACAACAATCTTAAATGATATAATTTCGCGCTTTTTTTTTCAACTGAAACAACCCAAAATCCAAGTTTTTGTTTCTTATCGTTATTCTCACTCGTTTTTCTGCTGTGAATCAAAGAAAAATGTTGTGAATCAGTTGTTTGTGAAAATCAAATACGGTATATTCTAACCAGCCCAATTATTAATTCGCGTAACCCAACACAAAAAAATTCTCATGCATTACACCCAACAAACAATAACACACACCGATTGTTGGTGAAAAATGCGCACACAACAATAGCAAAAATTTCGTCGTTGTTACCGATATAGAAAAGTGATCTTTTGTTTTATTCTCATCATCAAAGAGAGAAGCAATTTAATGAAACAATGAATTCAAAAAAAAAAAATTGCGCGTTTATTACAGATGTCAGATTTAACAAACTTCCTACTGATACTGGTACATATAAATGGTGGGTTTCTTATTTCAATAAGGCACATATAAGTAAGGTGACATGCATGAACAAATTATTTTAATACGTATATCAACATGTTTCAATGATTTTCGGCATCATCTTTTAGTAATTGGTTCATATATGGTAGTGTAACAATATGACTAACTAATTTTTAATGCTCATGAAATGTAAAATGTTTTATCCATTCAATTTTACAAAACCGCGCGGGTTTATTGTTTAATCTTTAAATTTACCACGCCTAATGCAATCACTCCATTCTTACTGTAGTTTATTATGTTTTAAATATTGGTGTTTCTTATTCTAAAAGTTTATCCGTTCATTGATTAGACTTGGCCGCATTAACGCCGACTTTATTGACCTCTATTTGTGTTTGTTTCATCTATATTTCACAAATCTTTTGTTTTGCGCGTGAAGAGACTGCAAGAATGAGTTTTGCATTTTACAATTTCGGATATGCTTATTGGCTGAATATTACTTCCAAGTTGCTGTTAATGTTCATGAACTTGCATGTCAAATAAGCAAATTATTGAGTCATCTTATACCGATACCACTTAACTTACAATAATATCGTACGCAGCCAATGAAAAAGTACTTATTTATGCAACTTATTGCTAGTTTAATAATTTGCAAAATATATTCGCCTGTATATTTATTATTCAAATTTATCAATTTTTACTTTTAGAAAAATATATATAATATTAAAATAATTTGATTTTTCTATTCGTTTTTAATTTTTTGTTACTTATTATAAATACAATTAGTGCTTATAGTCACTTTTATAAGATGCACGAAAATGGATAGAGGTATTTTTTAAGTTAACAAATGTTGAGGTAATTAT